CGGGCGGGGGGGCGGGCTGGGCCCACTCAACCCCACGGCCGAGGCAGCTCGTCCCCCTTTCCTGTTCCTTCTTTGCTCAAAGTCTCCTCTTTTCACAATGATTACGGGCCAGTAACACCACTTTCTTTCATTCCCAGACCAATCACCTACATGTTCACGAAAAAAGGATGCTAGGTGATAATATCCAGAATCAGAGAAATTATCTTTTTAAAATCTTAACCAGTAATTTTGAGCCAGTATTTTATAAATAAAACACATGTGATAAAATACATGTCTCTAAAGAACTGGAATTCTCGCATTGTCAAAAACCCTGTTAGAAACAGACATCCGCGCACACCTCTTCAGGGCCTCGACGAAGGCTGCCCGGCCGTCGGGGACTCTCGGGAGCTGCGGGAGGAAGGACGAGAATCCAGTGAGACGCCGTACAGGAAGGCCTCGCCCTCCGCTGCCTGGGTCCCGGGTCGTGAGGGTGCGTACTGACCATGCGAGGTGTGAGCAGGGCGGGGAGGAAATGAGACACGTAGTAGGGCCTCCTGAATATGCTGCAACACAGAAGAGCAGGCTCAGACAGAAGCAGCGTCAGGACGCCTCGGTGACAACGAAAACGTCACCTCCAGTCAGTCCCTGCATTTACGAGGGTGCACCACATGGCTTGTCTTATTTCACGGCTATGTTAGATCACATTTTTAAGTCCCTTTTCCGAGTTTTGGGATATTTCATGCAAAGGGCAGTCCATGCTGGTGATAACCCCGTGTCCCAGGGAACTGGGACAATGCCCTGCCCCGGGCATGGCCATGAAATCTGGGTTAAATCAAGGCCACAAGGATCACTGCTGGTCACTGTGGGTTTTTCCCTGGAGCTGACCTCGAAATGCCAGGAGGTGGGACCACAGTTCTCAGAAGAACCCTTGGGACAGCACCTCACACCGCTAGCAACCAGAATTCAAGACGTGTGGGATCACACCAAATTCAACAAACTTGTGCTATTCGACGCCCCATACTGGCCTCACGCCGGTCACTGGTGGTGCATTCATAAAAAGCCACCTCTACTAAGCCAAACAGGGCTCCACTGAGCAGGGAACAGGGCAGCTCCACTGCGCTCTGCCTGCTGACGGGGGTGGGTACGGACACATGCTTTTCAAGAAAACGCGTGTCCTGGCAAGGACTCAGCACCAGCCAGCCACAGGACCCTAGTTAGGACGTTCACACTGTCACCTCGGTGTCCCCACCACAAATCCTGAGAACAGACGAGGGGGGACTGACTACCTGGCTTCCATGACGGCAGCGGGAATTCTCCCTGTGTGTTCAAACACCGCGATGGCCTTCTCGACGTCCTGGGACGCCTGGCTGTGGGGCTGGCTCCACAAAGGTAGACAGGAAAGAGAACAGAAGAATGAAAAGACTCTGGTCATTTTGAGGTAATAGGTGACAAGCTAGCTGCATGGCACACAGGGAACATTCAAACTCCCTCATGCTGGCAGAACCGCAGAAAGGGGTCAACGGCTGCTGCCTGCCCCCGGCAAGGCAGACGACGAGCAGCCTGGCGACAGTGCAGCGGCTCTGGGAAGCCACTGCCACCGTCCCAGCCTTGTGCGCCCTTCCTGCCCCTCCTTTCTGCTGCTCTTCCCGGACAGTAAAGGGTTCCAACATAAGATGTTTAGGTGGGAAGGAGCAGAGACTAAATTCTTGATATTTAAAAAATTATGAAATGGCAATTTATGAATAGCAATAAATCCTAAATGGAAAAATTGAATTAAGTATTGTAAATTATTTACTTTAACAGCATTTATAAACACTCTCCAGCAATTCGCAACTTTTAAGCAAAAGGGTCTTTAAAAATACACACACACACTGTATGGCCATCTGACACTGGGTGACATAAACAGGTAACACTTTTTTCTGTCAGTCCTGGTAAAACAGGGCACCTTCCCCCCCGTCCCACAGACCACTCCTTCTGTTCAAGCCCACTAGACACACCTCCCTATGCGCTGGGACTCCTTGGGCCTCTCTGAACAGTTTTACAGAGCAAACCCTCACGGTCACTGTATCAGACAAACTCGGTCCTAGACAGAAAAGGCTCAGACGCCCAACCCAGTCACAGCGGACAAGAATGTGCTTGCGGAACGCAGGGAGACGCCCGAGTTACCTCCGCGATGTCCCCTGGGGAAGACAAATCCTCGTAGAGCCCCATGTTTTCTATAGAAACCTGCAGAGGCAGCACGACAAGAAGGTGAGGGCCCAGGGGGCACTGGTGGCTGCGGGGAGAGGGCAGTGGGGGGAGGCCGGGGCTCACCTTCAGGTCAGCCAGCCGTGTCCTGGCCAGTGACACATAGTCCGTGAGGAGGAAGCGGTACTTGCTGGGGACGAGTGGTGGGTGGAGAATGTGCACCTGTAGGCGGACGACAGGGCAGGACACGTCTGTCAACTGTTGGTGACTCTCTGGGGAGACACATGTTCATGACGGAAAAGTCAAAGAATTAGCCAAAGACCACGAGGACGAAAGCTGGAGCTGTGACGGACGGAATCCTGGGCGAGGCTTTCCACAGGCGCCTGCAGGTCTTCCGCCACGAGTGGGCGGGCTGGGGGAGGGTGGCCACCAAACCCTGGGCCCGCCCCTCCTGCCTTCTCTGGCTGCCGGTGGGATCCACATCCCCCCATGAAGCACCTTTCCATCTTACGGGCTGCGTGCTGGCTGCAGCCACGAATATGGGCCTGGAGGCGGTGCCCGGGGGGACCAGGCTCCAGCACTCAGGGCCAGTGGGAAGGGGAGGCGCAGAGAGCGAAAGCGGGGCTCTGGGCTTCCCCATGATGGGCACCCTGCTCGTCCCGCCCTTGCTGTTATCTCGTATGCACCCCTCGGCCTGCTCTACGAACTCCTTAACTAAAAAAAGATGGGGAGAATCAGTTTCCAGGTGCCCTATCTCCAAAACACACACTGGGTATAGTTATCGGGTTAAAAAAGAAAGCTCGCAAAAAGGCACAGCTCACTCGAGATCACCACAGACTTGTTATAAAACACGTAGTTTCCCAAGCCTGGAGCTAATGGCCTCTGGCAGTTTGGCAGAACCCTTCCTGATTCTTCTCCTTCAGTGTGAAAATGCATCCTTAAAAAACAAAAACGGGACCAACCGCACGGCATGTGTGTCCCACAAGCTGCTCTTCTCATGCAGCCTTCGGAGCAGCTTCGGAGCAGCTCTGGGGAAGGGCGGGCGCGGCCCTGCGTGGCCACCTCTCAGGGATGGCCAAGCAGCTGGCCGCTGGCACGTTACCATGCCAACGCCTTCCCTGAGCGCGCACACGTCACTGCTCGTAGGGTCTGCGTCGTGTAAGGGTACCCTGGAGGACGTCCTTGGCCTGAAGAGGGTGCGAGTAGAGAGTGTCAGCGGTCAGCTTCTCACCTGCAAGTAGTGCGGGGCCTCGAAGGGCACGAGGTCAGACAGGAACTTGAAGAGGAAGACCAGCGCCTTCTTGCTGCAGCCGTGCAGGCCCCGTGCGCTTCCGAAGGAGGCCTGGAGGGGACGGGGCGTGAGGCACGGTGGCGGCCACCCTGCTGTCCACGCAGAGGCCGGTCACCGTAGCAGCTGGCTGCCACTGTCTCTGCCTCAGAAAGGGATACCACAAAGCCATTTTGGTTCAGATCACTGCCAAACGTCATCATCAAGCCGACTAAAGCCAAGGGCTGAAACAGCACTGTAGTGTCTTCCGTACCCCAACAAGGACCCTTTCCGGGAGACAAAGCCATTTCTGAACAGTAATAAACGCACGACCTCCAAACTCATCCCAGTAGATGACATCGCTGCAGAGGAGGTGGCCAAGGGGGGGACGTCACGTCACTGAAAGAGCCCTGACCACAGAACACGCACGACCTCCAGGAGCCGAGGGCACCTGGGAGGACTGTGGGGGACAGAGATTCTCACCAGGCCTTGGCCCTGAACACACCACTGACAGCACAAACAGACCCAGGCCCCTCGCCACTAAGCCGGGCTCCTGCTGCCGGGGCCGCGCCAGGGGACCCCGCCTCATCTCCTCCCCGCAGAGGCCACGGTTCTCTCGAACGCGGCGACGGTATGGACAGATGCAAAAGCCAGCGATGAAAAGAGGACCCCCCACATCGCCATTCAGCTCCCGCCCGAGTACAAGGGGCGTCGCTGCCCTCCATTTAACCCGTCTACACAGAGGGCCCCTGAGTCCTGGAACATCCACTCAGCAGAGAGTGAGCCTCAATGAGTCACTGAAAACGGGAACAGAAATGAGCCCACAGGACATGCAGATCATTTAATGTTTTTATGTAAAGTGTCTAGAGCAGCACACACATCCCCAGATTGCGGTTACAAAGGAGGGGTGTCACTCCAGGAAAAAGGCAGTTCCTTCCATTATTAAAAAATTACACCCACGTAATTTGTCAAGTAAAATCACTGCTCTGAGGAACTAAGAATTATACCCCAAAGGCTCAAATTTACAGTCATTACATTGTTCTATTTACATAAGCATTTTCAAAAATAAAAGATTAAAAACATCTTCAAATATTGAACAGATGCATGTCTTTTAAAATTCATCTCACCTATTCGCTGAGATTGAGTATGTTTTATGTAAATTATACCTTAATAAATGTGATTTAAAAAAGAAAATGAACAAAGCCAAAAACCACACAGCACTGCAGAGTATTCCTCTCCCACAGGTGCCGCCCTGAGAGCTGAACAAACGTGAAGCTCAGAGACACCTGGGCGTAGCCGAGTCACCTGGGCAGAGCACTCAGCAGATGGAGCGGGCAAGCACGGGAAACAGTCGGCTCCGTCTGCCCAGCTGCTGAGAGAGTGCGGGGCTGGATTCAGGGCAGGTCCCTTGGCGCCCTGAGGGCACAGCCATGGACCCCTCAGCACATGCACTTGGAACCCCTGGGCCAACTGCCCAGAGCCGAGAAGAAATGGCAAATAAAGGAATGAACACCGTGACCACCCACCCTCGCCACCACAGCAGGCCGACGGAAGGCCACCCTCAGAAACCAGGGAGGGCGAGCGCTCGACCCAGAGCCGTGACAGACCTACACATGCCGTGCCGCACCCTCAAAGCCGACGTCCACAAGACGCCCCCGCCCGCGGCAAGGCCCAGGCTCACAGCTGGAAACAGCTGCAGAGACAGGTGGGGACAGAAAGGGAGACCCCAGGAAGCCTCCGAAGACCACCCCTCCCAGATTGACAGAAAACGGCCAACGCCCCCACATCCTATAGTTTTCACTCCTGAACGCCCTCATTTTCTTGTAAGATGGGGAAGGAGGTGACCAGGCAAGTGAGGTGGCAGCCTGGGAAGCGGTTGGGCCTGGAGGGAGGCTGAGAGGCACATAAGGGTTCAGCCAGGGCCACCACTGTGGGCCCGGGTGCTGGGACTCATTCATTCCTCCGACAGCAAGTCAAGGGGACGTGCTACCAACCAACGGGGAAAACCAGCCAGTCAGTAGAGGTGACCCACCTGGAACCAGTCTGCGTAAGACAGGAACAAGGAAGGGCCCTCCAGTGCGGCCTGACGCACAAGCAGGAACACGGTGACCATGCTGTCCAGGTCGAAGTTCTCGAACGCACGGGCCAGCCAACGGGCCACCCAGTCTAGGCGAGAAGGACCAGTCACAGCTAGTAGATGGGCATCCAGCAGAAACACAATGCGTGCTCTGCCAGGGAGCACGCGTTCTGGTTAGGACCTGCATGCCCAGTGCCAATTCCAAGGGACCGGATGATGATCAGAGGGAGCCACACATCTGCTCTGTGAGGCGGTGGCAGCAGCGGGCAGTGCCATGGGCCAGCCTGACAGAGTGCAGATCCCAGGACGCAGGGCAGCTCCAGGGCAGGCAAGGACTTTTGTGACACTGTGATTCCCGATGGACTCGCCCCAAATGCTGACAACACACGAATCGCACACACATGCACACATGCACACGCATGTGCACACCACAGTTCTACCAAAGCATACCGGTAACCAGCTGCCGTGCTTCCGGGAAGCAGATCACCAGGGCAGACACACAGGACAGCACGTGCTGCCAGTTCACCTCGTGTGTTTCCAGAACTTCTTGTACATGGCCAACCAGCTCTTCTGGACTCACTACCACGAAGAGCTGAAACGAAAGGCCCCCTTGGCCGTCAAAACACAGCACTCATTGGTAGGAGCTAGACCTCGCCTCCCTCCCATTCCCGTTCAACACGACACGGTGTTGAAACAGTGGACACTTTGTGTCTCTCCCCTCTGCAGCAGCCAGTATCAGTTGGGGGGACTCTCTGGTGGTCCAGACATGGACGGCTCCATCTGTGGAGAGCCCAGGCCTCACTTTACCAGGACCAGGAAGCACAGGGCTTTCCAGAAGCAGGTCTCAGATCAACACCTCGTGCACACCAGTGCAACTCACCCTGCGGTATAGGCTGGTGAGCAGAGGGTGGGTCCTCGCAAAGCTCCACTCTCTCTGCATTTGAATAGCGTCAGAGACTTCATTCAGAAGGAAAACAGAAAGATGTCAAGTCAGCAATCATCGAAAAGCTGTGTTTTAAAGCTTCGATGTCAAAAAACTACATTGTATTAATTTGCATTTTTCCGATTATTAGTAGTTCACCATTTCCTTGTTTGTTAACCATTTTCTGTGTTGTGAAGTGCCTGTGTCTTTGGCCCAGTTACCTGAGGAGAATTCTTTATCATATTTGCTGTATTTTCTCATGCATCAATTACATTTTAGTTGTGCTGCTTTTAAACTTTAACTATCAATAAGCCATCAGTGAGGACGCTGTGAAAGGCCCTCAGGAAATATAACATAGCCTGTCGGGGCATCCGTGTCCCACTCGAGGACCCATCCCGGAGATGTACCACTGCACAAGGACAGCTGGGTGGACGAGGAGTTCATTTCGGCCTTAATAATAGTGAAAACGGGCAGACATTCTGTCATTGATGGGTGGTGATATTAGCCAAAGGGTACTCACTGGTAGATGACATGAGCATTAAACACTTCTATGAAAACTACGTAAATACATAAGAAAATGCTTACGATTTAGACATAGTGAAACAGAACTGTGGAATTTAAAGTATAACTATGTTTTCAAAAATCTATTTAGAAAAGGCTGGAAGAAAGGTTTTCTGTTAAAGATATTTTATTTTGGTGACAAAAGGGGTGACCATTCTTTCTACTCTTCTTTAATTCTAAGTTTTATTTATGAAAATGAGTTACTTTCAAATGAAAGGACAGTTAATGACAATGTGTCCTTCGTGATCTCAAAGTGTCTTACGGCATTAAGATAGGCCCGAGCACCCATCGAGGGAGGCACTGGTTCCCAAACATTAAGATGGGGCCCGAGCTCCTGCCAAGGAAGACTCTGGTCCCCAGAGAGACCGGGCCTGGGACCCACCTTTCAGCACAGGCTTGTGGGTGAAGATCTGAGTAAGGGTGTGCCTGAAAAAGCTCTTTGGAGAATCTGTTGAAATCATACTGCAGGTGTGTCCACTGAGCACGCTAAACCTGCAAACGGCAGAAAGAGGCTCTCAGGAAAGGAGGTGGCACCAGGTTCCCACATCACATCAGCTGATGGCATCGTTCCCACACACAAGAACAGCTCATCAAATGCACTTCTGTCTAGCGAAGCAAGCATGGACCCCGACACGCTGACCCCCGGCTCACGGTCTCATAGGCCCTTTCCATAACCCTGAAACTCTCTCTGCTGGGCCACCATACCACGGGCTTGAAACAGAACCCAGGGAAGTGTCATTTTGACAAGAAAGGAAACCACAAGCAGGCAACAGAGACACTTGTCAGGCCCCGAAGGAGAAGTCAGAGGAAGATCGGGAAGGCTGGGCCTGCACAGAGCCCCAGTGGGACAGAGGCCACAGTGATCATGGTCACCTGGACCCAGTGGAGGGCCCGGTCCCAGCAAACTGCCAATGCCACAAAGCCTCGGTCTCCCCACCTGTGAAATGGGGATCAGAGACAGCAGGGCTGTGCCAAGCCTTACGCTGTTCCTTACGCAGGCACACGAATGCAGTGACTGCTCCTGAAGTCAACAGTGTCCCATGACAGGAGAGGGGGGAGGGAGGAAGACAGGGCCATTGTCAGAGGGAGCAGGACGTCACCAACAGGTCAGGAAGGACAAAGGGTGACCAGGGCAGACAGTGAGGTGTGTGCCAGGGCTGGCCCTGCCGTGATTCCTCAGGGAAGGTCAAGGGTCCCAGCAGTGACGTGAGCGGCCCCGAAGGACAAAGGGTGACCAGGGCAGACTGTGAGGTGTGTGCCAGGGCTGGCCCTGCGGTGATTCCTCAGGGAAGAAGGTCAAGGGTCCCAGCAGTGACGTGAGCGGCCCCAGCTTACACGGCAACAAGAACGTATCGGGTAGGAGGGCAGACTTGGGGCCCATGCGCCCTGCTGCTTCCAGAGGGTGGGGTCCCAGCTTGCCACCCAGACTGTGAGGGGACGTCTGATTTTAATGGAAGTACCAGCAACTACTTAAAAAGTTTTAAAAGAAACAAGCGATCGATGATCGTGATCCGGCTCCAGGAACATGAGTCTGAGCCATCTAGTCAGGCACATGGTAAAAACGCATAAAATTTAGAGAACGAGGCAGTGTCCTCACTGGTGAAATAAAGTACTGAAGTATACAGCACAGTCAAGGACTATCAAGCGCTTGTGGAGTTCAGGGGCAAAACGATTAAAGAACAGAGAGATTTACAAGGTTGGGCGATGCTGGTTTCCCAGGGGAGAGCCAGCTTCCAGGCTGGCCTCACCCACGAGACCGAAGCAACCCCAACACCCCAATGTGCAATCCAGTGTGTACACATGGACCTCTGGAGCGAGGGACAGAAAGTAACAAGAGTCTACGGCCATGCCACCCTGAATGCGCCCGATCCCATCTGATCTCGGAAGCTAAGCAGGGCCGGGCCTGGTTAGTACTTGGATGGGAGACGACCTAGGAAGACCAGGTGCTGTAGGTCTAAAAAGTAAAAGAAAGGAAGAAAGTAAGTGACCAGGTCAGAGTGTGCCCACCGTGGGTGTGGGCGGGGCCCTGGAGCGGAGTCAGAGGAGGGTGACCACGGCCGTGTGCTATAGAAAGCCACAAAGGGGCCAAAGGGGGCAGGTGCGAGGGGCAGAGCCAAGACAGTGAGGAGGTTGCCTGGGGGCGGGGGCGGGGGGTAGTCACCACCCACAGGAGCCCGGACTTGGAGGGGTCAGGGCCCACAGAAACGGTGCCGGCCTCCTGCCCCGTCCACAGGGGTAGTGGGTGGGCCAGGTTTCCAGGGGTCCCCAGCTGCCGTCTCTCTTGACGCTAACACGATGGCAGGGAAGTGTGCTGGGGAGTCACCTGTTTGTATATGCAGAGCGCCTAAAACACCAGGACCGCTAACGTCGCAGGAACCGGCCCAGGAACTTACCAGCACCTCGCTGCCCTGTGCGCCGAGGACTCCTCCTGCACGCCAGCGGCCAAGGCCTCGAGTGCAGCTGGTGCCAGAGCGGGGAGCAGAAAACAGACGTCAGCCACCACAGCCCCCCAGAAACAACCCTAAGCGCATCTGGAAGTCAGGTACTGGTGGGTGCGAGCCCCTCATTTCCAAGCTACAGACCTCTCAGGCTACCTAAACCCCCAGGTGACACAAGTCCTTCAGGTGTACAAGTGTCTCAGCGAAGACTTTAAAACCAATCGAAATATGCAGACAATAAAACATCCCTGTTAAACGTGACCATGTACAGCCCTGGAGACTGACTGTGAAGCCAGCAGGAGCTGAGCCAGGAGAAAAACTGCAGCGTCACTTTATACCAAGTTACAACCGAGAAAGGTATCTCCGGCATGGGACTATTTCTAAAGGGACAAATATGCAAACAGGTGAAACACTTGAAAAGGAAAGGAAAAAACCAAGAAATTCCTGGTCAGCAAGCTAAGGCAGTTTCGGTCTGGGGCAGAGCGGTTGACTCACAAGCCAGCATTCTCTGAAGCACGGCCACGGCGACCTGTAAAGAGAGAACGGAGCTGCCGTCACCTCAGTCAAATACCTGCGCCACACAGAGAACTAGCTGTCACCCGAAAGTGAAACAGGAAACTGACTTCCAAGAGACACTTTCGAGACCCCCTCCTAGATCTACGACATCACCCCAGCACCAGGGAGGCCAGAGAGAGTGCAGAGGTGGGCTTTCCAGAGGGGTCCATTGTGATATCCCAAGACTGCCGGGCCTGGCCGCACCCACCAGCCCCCCGCCTGCCGGCCCCGCGCTCGGTGCTGCCGGGGCTCCGCTGCCACTACCCTGCCTGTGCCTCTGGCCTCAAAGCACGGACCCGGTTCTGGCCAGGATGGAGGCCTCCACCTAGACTCGGGGTCACTGCCTGTTCCCACGCACATATCTGCTGGCCTAGGGAATGACCCTGCTCAGGTCGCCCTGTGAGAGGGCACCCCCGCTCCCGGAACCCCCCAGGCAATGATGCTGGGGGACAGGCGCCCTCCCAGCCGCACTGCAATTCCCTGAGGCCGCGCTGCGCTTCTCCCCTACCTGGGGCGTACGTTCAGGCTCCGCCTCTCCTCTCAGACCCGAGTTTGTCTGAAATCCCTTCAAGACCAACAGTTGCACAAAATCTGAAAACCACAAAAGCCAGGCATTTACAGACACTGGTCTCTGAGCAGCCAGGATCACATATACCGCCTGCTTCAGAGGGGCTCGAGGTCGAGGACCCACACGGAGCCATCCGGACACCGTGCTCCCGCCCTGGGGCCTGCCAGCTCCTGCCCAGCAGGTGGGCACACAAGTGTCCCAGCCCAACCACATGGCTGTCTGAGCCAGACCCTCTGACTTGCTATACCACGTAAAAGAGACACAGCTGGCCCTTGAGTGACGCGGGGCCCTCACACGCGGACTTCTGCCCAGCCCTCAGGCTTCTCACCCGCAGAGACAACCAGCTCCGGTCAGAACTGTTTCCAGAACTGGGAACCCCGTATATGCACAGGGCCGACTTTAGTTCTCGCTGACTTTCTGCAGTGTGAGGGGTCGGCACCTCTGACTGTGCGCCATTCAAGGTAAACTGTGCTTATAATCAGTGAAGTTCATACGTGAAGGTTTTTCTCCCTTAAAGCAGCAGCTTCTAAGAGTTTCTTGTGGGCTGCCTCCCCAGCCAATCTCCTACACCAACAACCCAGAATCTTTATGGAAGGACCCAAAAGCTTTACATTCTGGAGACCGAGCAGGAAAAGAACACACCTTCTGAAACTATGAGAATCAAGAGGGCTAAAATTAAAAAGATTTCCTGTCTAATCTTCGATTTAAACTTCAATTGTCTAGGGCTCGCCCGCAGGTTTCAGGAATCATAAGTAGCTGACATTACCAAAGAAGTTTTAGGAAAAAGGAATGCATCATTTGCGAAAGAAGAAAATCTGTATGGAACACTCCATTTCTCCTCTAATTTGTCACTTACATACACACATAGATTTCGTCCCTCAGGGCTCACTGGCGATGGCAGGGTATGCTGGCATGAAAGCAGCAGGCCAGGGCCCACTCTAAGGGAAAGGTGCCTATGACAACCTTGCTGACAGTGCATCTGGACGTAGGTAAGGACTCAACTTAGAATTCCCACCCCAAGTCCCCACTTTGCTTTTCCTGGGGCACCTTTTAAAATAACCAATTAGAGCCCCTGAAGTTAGTGACCTCTGTCCCGAACTACCTTGCATGGCGTGGGGAGCCTGTTTTGTTTCCTACAGATCGAAATAGCAAAAGCTATTGATCTAAATGAATTTTCCCCAGAATCTGTCTGCACTGTGAACTCACCGGAAAGCACAGCCCTGGCGATGTCGGCCTGGGGACAGGACGTGTCCATCTGCTCGCTCTGCTCACACAGACCATGCAGGTTCCTGAAGAGCCATGCCACCACAGCCTGCATGTCGGCGTGGCTGGGGACACAAACGTACAGCACACCCTGATCTCACTATTCCACAGACATCCAGCCACTGTCTTTCCCACTCATTTCACTAGGAAGCCTAAGCCACTGAGAATGACCTAGCAATCGTCTGAGCCTTTCTGCACCAAGAAGTCACGGCTGACATAGAAGGGTTGTCAGGGACGGCTGAGACTGATGTTAAATATCATCATTTTCAAATAGTTCATTTACTTGGAGTAGCTTACTATTGCTGGGAGAGAAGTTTGCTAATAATAATCAGAGACAAATAAAACGGACAGCGGCAGTTACGAGCCACAGGCTGTCACCAAGGGCGCCTGCCATGCAGAACCACCCGTGTGCTCAGCAGAGCCCTGGACTGGGAAAGCCCTCGCCTGCCTCGCCTGTCAGATGTGAGTTTCATGGAGCATCTTTTCATGTGCTTGGCCATTCGTATGTCTTCTCTGTAGAAATGTTTACTGAAATCCTTTATCTATTTTTAATTGGTTTATTTAGGCCCCCCCCACTTCAATATTATAAAAACGTTCTTCCATGATTTCTTCTACCACTTTTATAATTTCATTTTTTTCCCTTCTTTGACTCATCAAGAATGTTTTTGGTATAAAGATCCAACTTGTTAAATCCAGATGTGACCCACGCGTACCACCACTCGTGGTTTCGACGTGGCATTTTCGAGTCCCCCAAACCAGACGCCCTCTGGTTTCCTGACCGGAAAATAAACAGAAACTTCCAGGCTTCTGCTTGGCTGCAGGAGGAACAGCTGCCTGGATACCTAGAGCAAGGACAGCGATCGATCTAAGGTTCCAAATGCTTCTTAAACATGCTTTCAATCAGTTCCGAGTCCCTCTCTCCCTTACCCCTAGATCGAGAGGTGCCTGGCGCACAGATCCTTGAGTCTTTTAAGAAGAAAGGATAAACTGGACTGGCTTGAGACAAGTCTACCTCAGGTTTGCTAAGTTACCCACTGGCCCATCTGCCTCTGTTAACTCTCCCGTGCCCTTCCGCCTCTACAGGTCATGCCTCTTTATAAAATCCCCTTTCTAACTCTTAGTGGGATTTGAGGAGGGAATAAAAGTACTAGCACACATTCTAGCAACCATATTTACCTGAACATCTTTTTTTCAGTTTTAAGAAATATTTTATCACATGATATATCTTATACAAAGAAACCATTACCAAGTCTGTGCATGGTAAGACTCCAATTTGCTCTAAGTAATAAAGTACAGGGGACCCCTGAACACAGGAGTTGAAAATCTGCATATAACTTTAACTGCCCCTAAAACTTAAGTATAGTTGGTCCCTCAGTGTCTGTGGGGATGGGTTCCAGGACTCCCCGTGGACACCAAAATCCGTGGATGCTCAAGTCCCTTATGTAAAGTGACAGAGAACAACGCATACAATGGGCCTCCCGCATCCACAGTTCCCAGCTGTGGATCCAAAATACTATTTTTGATCCTAAGCTGGGTGAGGCCACAGATGCAAAACCCATGGATACGAAAGGCCGACTGTACTTACTGGAAAAAAATCTGCATAAAAGTGGACTCACGCCATTCAAACCTGTGTTGTTTGAATCGTGAACTGTAATAGTTTCTCCAGGTGATTTTTGGCTTTGCTATACAAAGTCACACTAGGCCAGATTACAAACGGTAAACCATGGAACACCCTGGCAAAGTTAAATGATCGCTGGTACACTACCTTTCCAGCAGCTCTGGGAGGCTCACAACGTTTTGTTTATGAAGATGCCACACAGCTTCAAGCAACAAAGAATTCTGAAGAAAATAACAGTATTGTGAGTCCTTTACGATGTCGTTTTCCTACATGTTCAGTGTACTTAACCGCCATGTTCTACTGAAAATTAAAACGGAGTGATAAGCACAGCCTAAAGTATATATTTTATCCACTGGTTTTAAAACTCACCAAGCCCGTCCCCATCACCATGTGTGCTGCACGCTCAGACGTGAGCCCTGCCCAGTCTCTAGCTTAATCCACGTCTCGCCTTCTCCATGCGGTCAACACAAGATTACACAATGTAGACTGGCCGTGTCCATCTTTTCTGTTCCTAGAACCCTTCAGTGGCTCCTCACAGTATTCAGGGCGAAGCTCAGCCTCTTCAACATGGCACAGGCCCTCTGTGATCTGGTTTCCATCTCTCGTTCTGTCCCTTCCCAATGAAGCACTTCCCCCTACAGCACGGACACCCCCGGTCGCCTTCTCACGCAGTGACCCTCACTCTCCCTGCACTCCACGCCCCTTCCGCTCTCTTAGGAAGCCCTCGCAGCTCTGGTCAGTTACCCACTCCCATCCGCGCGCCAGTGAGCACCTGCATCATCATAATTCACGTGCACTTAGCTGCCTTCCCCCATGCAGGCAGTCACCAGCAGGCACAGGGACCATACTGAAGCCTGACAAACCAATGGAACTCTGTAATGTATGCTAAATACAAGAATGGGGAAAATCCATAAACGTGCCATCACCTTGGTGTTTTCTTTCCTTTTTCTGTATACCTACTGATCTAATTTAAGAACCAAGTAGTTTGAGTTCTTTCAACTATTCAAAAATCTCTAAGCCTAATGAGTTCAAGATGTTTCAAGAAAGAACAGGTTAGAATAATTTTTTAAATTCTATTTTCCTAGTTTACTATCTTGCCCTAGAAATTGTCCATAATAATAACACTAAGAGGGCAGAACATCATCTTTCCGTGGTGTGGTATGTTCTAAAAAATATTACTAATGATGGGTGACTATTAAACACGGTCACAGAGGTTACTTCTTTCTCACCCAGAGGCATTTGCTGAAAGCTTTCCCCCACTCTGTAATTAATGGGATGCTTCATGGGATCCCTAAGAAAACATAGGGAAGCTGTTGGCTTCACCCAAATCAACAGAACACTTTTTGAAAAATCTCTGGAGTCAGAGTTACAATCTCAAATTTACCTGTACTTTCCACATTTCTTGACAGAAGGAGAGACGGGAGAACATACTGTGTGCTAATAAATACTGAGTGATCTCTAACAGGGAAGACAGTTTCTTCTGAAAAGAGAGGTTAAATCATTTTTTAGATACAGGCAAATACTTGAAACAAAATTAAAGAAATGTCCTATTTTCCCAAACAGCTTAAAAGTAACGAGTAGCAGTTTCATCATTCATGCTGTGTCTTACTCTTTGCTCCAAGTCCAACAGCACGCCATGGGAGGGCTCAGTGCCTGCCTCACAGATCTGCACAATGCTCGAGGCAACCACCTGGCTGGACAGGACTGCTACTGGAACCCCCAGCTGCGAGGCTTGATCCCGCAGAGCAGAGCCTTAGAGACGACACAAAACACGAGAGATGCACCACAAAATCTAAAACAAGACTTATAACGTAAAACGCCTTCTTTAAGTTGTAGCGCTACAGAAAAGTGCCCTTTGAAGGGCAGGACAGATCTACAGGAAAAACACAAGACATAAAATTAAGACAATTCCACGACCGAAGTGTCCTATGAGACCGTCAGGGGCAGCACCCGAAGCCCGTAGTTCACACACGTATTTGTGTGTTTTGTGGGACACAAACGAGGGAGCTTGGCAGCTATGTTCTGCTTAAGAATTTTATCGACCTTTTCCCAAAGGAGCACAATAAATCGAGAACTACAGCAGGCTCTTTAATGAGTTCCTGTTTCTCTAATTGCTTCAGTGTCAAAGACAGAACGGCTCCCACCGAGTCTACAATGATGTCCGAGAGGAAACGGGGTCTGCTTTCTCAGGCTGTGCTGCACCCCTGTTGGGCACTGGTGGAGCCTGGGTGCTGGGGCGCAGGCAGCCACCCACCTCTGGTCTGCACTCAATAAGGTGAAAACTATTGGGCAGCCTGGAAACATAGTACCTACAAGTACACTGTTTTCTAATTTATTTAACTTCCAAAACTATTTTAAAAAACAAACAAACAAACAGGAAACTGTAGCACATGCCAATTAACTTCAAGACCCTGAAAACACAGACCAATACGTAAAGTGAAAACATAGTAGTTATAGTTTCCAAACGACAGCATTAGAAATGATCAACTGCTGTGGCCAAGAAATAATTCATAGTAGAAAGACAGAAAATGCTAAATTCTAGTCATTTATTTCCAACATGTCTCCATGGGAAAGTTATTTCTGTCTTTATTGACAAGGCTTTTATCTTTTCTACATAAGTACAAGTAAGTATGGTAGCAGGAAAAACTAAAAAATTCATGAACTAAGGGCTATTTATATTTCTGTGGTCAAGGCTAAGAACTTCTTACGTAAGCTCTATGCCTTGATCCAAAAGTCCATACAAGGAAGTGTGTAACTGAGCTTGGCTCACTGGAATGCTGATGTGTAATTTGTGAAATTCAAATAAAATTATGGCACTGAAAATTCATATATTTTACCAAGCTTATCGTTTAAGGTTATTTCAACAGAAACTTAAAACAAATTAATGAATTGACATTTTTCTGAAATGACAGTCGTTAAATCATAAAAATGTGAATGTTATTTCCATAGAACTTCCCCTATCTCGTATTCTCGAATGGAAGGGTGGGCGCCTAGAAACATATTTCTAGTTTCCTGCCTGCTCTCCCGACCCAGTGTCACCTGTTGTCATCACTTCCATGAATGTGCACATTACTGTCTCACGTTTTTCCAGGGACACTTTGGTTCCTACTGCCTCTGAGGCCCATGCTGAGTCAAACACTGTTTTAAAATAACAGCCTCATAACAAGCCCCAGTCAAGTCACAAAAACATGACTTGTTCGTGACTTCACATATAAGTAGAAAACCATTATCTTGGGGAATTTAAATTTCTGCTGTTGTAAGCAAATCAAGGCCGCTTTAGATAAAGCTCTTCTATAACTCAATATGTAAAGAAGAAGGAAGAAGGAAGAAGGAAGGAAGCAGCGGCAGCAGCAGCAGCTCTAACTTACCTATGAGTGAACTAGAAAGACCCGTGTGGGCCTTAGGACTGTCACGATCAATCAACTGGCTGAGACTCAACTTTTTATGTGGCGGACCTTCCACCTGGGAACCAAGCACAAAGAACTCCGTTTTTAAAATTCAAGCCGTGTGTGCATAAACACCACCTGCGTGTATATGATGCTTGTCTACCGCCCTGTTCTCAAATATTTTGAGGTAAAACGTTTTAAAATTTTAACTTACTAGAGCCTTTTCAGAATTAATAAATTCATTTCTGAACTTTGTCTCCCAAAAGATAAATGGTCCCAATTTTTTTCTTACCCAGTTAACATTAAGTGGGGGCTTCTACCTGATAGAGGCTCTCCCAGCATCTTTCCAAGGTTATGCCTTGGCTGGATTCAAAAACCCCAACCCTAAACCTACCTGCAAAGACCAAGCCAACCTCTTCTTACCTCAAGCAAAAGGTGGCTCAGGTTTAGCTGGCGTCTCAAGAGGCGCACTGCTGAGTCTCTCAACTTCTGTTCCCTCTCGGGATCCAACTTCATCTTCCTGGCCCTTCCGGCTAAGGGGGGAAATCAGTTTTAAGAACCACAGCGCGACTTAAACGAGATCTGGTGACATCGCGTACCCCTGACGCGTACTCTGCTTCGGCGGGGGTCGAGCCCAGACGCCCCCGGCCCTCTAACCACGCGGAAAGGTCAGACACAACCAAAGAGGGGCGTTCCACGAATGGCTACTCCTCCCACTGCCTGGTCAGGAAGGCGACGAAAGACGAGGGGCTGTCACCGAGCGGCGGAGAGAACGCGATCCGGGCCAGTGAAAGCTGAAGGCAGCCTGCGCGCGGAGGACTCCGGGTCGGGCCGGCAGAGTCTCGGGAGGGAAGGGGCCTCGGGGCCCGGCGCCGCTCACTCCAGCGGCCCCCACGTCCACATACCTAGCAGTTCGGGCAACGTCCTCCTCCGGTCCCCGGGCCGCTGGTGTGTGGCGGCGCCCGGCGCTCTGGAAACCGACATGACAAGCCCGCTGCGCCCCACTGGCGGCTCCAGCGACCGGCCCGCGCTGCCTTCCCATTGGCTGGGTCCGCGGGGCCTTCCCATTGGCTGGGTCCGCGCTGCCTTCCCATTGGCTGGGTCCGCGCTGCCTTCCCATTGGCTGGGTCCGCGCTGCCTTCCCATTGGCCGCGGCCCGACGCGCACACCCATTGGCTGGCGGCTGCCCGACCGCACATCCCTGGGGCGGAGGCCTCGCACTGCGGCCATCTTGCTAAGGTGGCAAGAGCGCGGGAAGCACCCGACACCTGGGCAAGGTGGAGCTCGTCTTGTGTGTGTGTGTGTGTGTGTGTGTGTGTGCTTCCCAAGCGAGCACAAGGTGGAGCTCGGTTTCGAGTTGACGGTTACGAGTGGATTCAAAACGGCACATTTGTGAGAAAACTGTGGCATCCCTAATGCGTTATTCCCACCAATGATGACGCATAGCTGGTCATGAAGAAACAACATGACAAACCCAAGTCCACAGAGACGCTAAAAACCGCGGGCAGCGTCATTTAGAACAATACGGTATAAACCTGAAAACGGGAACTGAGCCTGCCGGCACTGCCCAGGAAGACCTGCAATGACAGAAATGGTCTGTGTCCATTCTGTCCAATACCGTAGCTAGCTCCTGAGGCGGCCAGTGAGACTGAGGAACTAAATGCTTACTTTCATTTGACCTTAATTTGAATTAAAATGGCCACACGTCGTCCCCCGCCCCCCTCCTAGCGCTGCGCTGTCATTCGGTCATGCATACACAGGTGTCAAAACTACAAAGTAAGGCGGCGCTCTGGGTGGGGAGTCCTACTGTATTCTTCAGTGGTTGGTGTCTTTCCCTCACGATTGTATCTGTAAGATTTATCTATGTTGTGCAGAGCTGTAGATCATTCATTTTCCTGGCTGTATAGTAGTCCACTATATGAATACAGGTTTCATATTGAATATTTTTATATATTTAACTTTATGTATGCTTCATTACGATGTTTTGACATCTTAAAAAGCCTCATGCACACACATGAGGTCAAGTAACAACACTTCTCTTCCAGGGTCCAAGGTCGTGGACAGCAGCCGACAAGACTAAGCCGACAAGACCCTGCCCTTGTGGGGCTCATGCTGTGTACAAGGGTGTTCACTCAAGACTGAACCAGCCCACATGCCCAGCAGCAGGGGCGTATAGAGAACACACAAGCTCTTTACACTCCAATACCAATCACCGCCCCCCCCACACACACACCTGAGGAGTGACAAAGCTGAGTACAGGACAGGGTGGACGAGGTGCTGTTCTCCCTGTGAAAAGGGGGTATGGGAGCTGGGTAGATGCCAACTCCAGAGGGATAAAAGGCTAGTGGACATGGCTGTGTCTGGGCTAGGGTGGGAGACCCCTCAGTTTATACTTCTGGACATCAGGCCATGTCAAGTGAGCCAACACCGATTTGTGGTCACTTCTGTAACATTATGAAAATGTCAGCTGTGACATAAACCTCCCCCAGTCTAGGCCGTGAGGTAGCCCCGGTGCATGCAGAGGTCCCTGACACAGCTGCTGTGAGTCATGCACCTGGAAAGTGTTTGGCTTATTTTTAACCACTCTGCACTATCTGTTCACGAAAAGTTCCAACAATGTAAATGACCTCCAATGTCTTTAATGGGAGGCAAACCATGTCCTCTGGTATTTTCTTGACTCCTGGTCAGGAACCTGGGGTTAGCACCCCTCCCCTTGTCCTGCCCCGCACAGGACAGACCTGTCATCCTCTTGACTGGGCACTAGGACCTTACTGTCTGTCCTGTGCCCTGGGGCTCCTCCCTCCTTCTCGTCTCCACCACCAGCCTAGAAACCCTGCTGCCCAGTCCCCGTTCTGGGCTCCCATTCAGAGATCAGGTACAGCCCGGCTCCATCTGGCATCCCTTGGGATTCATGGCCTTTATCATTATCCCAAAATAAACCTACAGCACAAAACCAGGGCTTCTCGAGTTTCAGCTTTTCCTCCAGGACCCCTGAGCCTGGCCTGGCTGGGAGGAGCGGGACAAAGAGGGCATTCAGGAGCCTCTGCACTGCGGCAACGGGCCTGGCTGCGCACTGCTTACTGTGCACGGCTCCATCCCTGGGGGAAGCCAGCCTGCTTTCCGATCTGAAGTGGAATCAGTAAGGGGACGAGAGAGCCGTGGCCGAAGCCTTCTGTGAGGGTCTAGGGGAGCGGACGTGCCTTTGACCACAAATCGTCCTTGGTCTTAAACCCACTTGCCCATGTGCCTGACTCAGTGTGCCCTTTGTCTCAGCACAGAGTGCTCTCACTATGCTGCCTTGCACCCTGGAGCCCTGACCTGTCTCCTGGAATCTTATAACTGTAGCCCACAGCACACCTGGCGATCCAGCCCCAATTTATCTTTTTGGCCTCCAGAAGCCTAAAGTTAGGATTCTGTAGCTTCTGTGTCTGCAAAGCTGCTCAGATATCATTCCTAGAGCATTTAAACCTTTGGCCATGTGCAGTCATGCACCACCCACCCTCTGACTGCATCGCCATGGTGGGACCTGCCTGGGTTTCACTGGCCTTTCCCAGGCATAAGACATCAGTGCCCGGCGCTCAGCAAATACGTGTGAATGAACAGCCTACACTGTAAGATGAGTATTTGGGGAGTGTCTTTGCAAATGTGATAACCTGACAAAGCAATTCTGCAATTCCAAGCACTGGTGGATTAGTCATTGCACTAAACGTTTCTCTTCTGTCCCCAAGCACAGCCCACAGTGACGAATAACATTCCGCCCCTGGGATTTCCCAACTACTGGCAATGAAGTATTAAGAACACGTTTTTAGAAGTGCCTTTAGGCGGTCCCAGAATTGTGGAGCTGACCTTGTCCCAGAGCTTTCCAAGTTAATGGCTGACAATCGACCCTGCCATATTTCAGTTGAGTCTCTTTTTTTAACAGTCAGAAATACAGTGCTTATTTCCAAAATCCAAATGGCAGGTTCAAGTTAGAGAAGAACTAACATTGCTTTGATTCTGATGTTGTATTGCCTACTCCATGGACAAACAGCTAAATATTTTAACCCTAGTGCCAGGTTCAATGGAATGAACCCCATTTCCCATCCCTACCAGGTGCCACATGCAGTGCACATGTGTAAGAGACTAGTGTTCACTCTTCCCCTGGTGTGCAGCCCAGACAATCATCAGCTACTCACAGGAGTTGCTTACAGTGGAGCCCTCGGTCTGATTTAAAATACTGATTAGACTTTTTAACCAAAAGTATGGGCCATGCTTGGGACCCAACCACGAGAAGGAAACGATTATCTTGATTTTGCTAGTGACAAGTGGGTGGAACTTATCCCTGTACCCAGAACTCCCACCAACCAATCAGAACCCAGAGCCCTGGGCCCATGTGGGCAGTTTTCTCTTCCGGGAGAGTCCAGCTTTGCTTCTTAGTGTTGGCTTACAAGCTACTTTGGGCTCCAGTCTACTAGGCTGGACTCTGCCTCTCACCGCCACCCTCAGGCTGCACCGGGCTCACTTCTCAGATTGGGTCCATTTCTAAGTCTCATGTGGTACCTTCTGGAGGCATGCGGGGTAAATGACCTGAGAGGAAAGAAAGATGGTTTCTAGGAGTATCTAGAGAGCTGACTGATGCATCTGCCTCCTCATTTTGGTCATGGCTAGGGGGATAAACCTTCAGATACTAAGATAAGTAAGTAAAACCTAATTTAAAAAACTTTTAGTAAAACCTCACTGTTCTAAATATTGCTGGCTGATGTCTTAAGAGGTGCACAGGGACCCCTAAAATAATGATCAAGGCCAGACCAGAAGGGGTATTGTACCCTTACACAAGTGACTTCAAGGGCTGCTGGGTCAGCCAGGTGTGAGTCTTCAGGAGGTCCTTACCTGCTCATCCAATGCGATCCTGAAGCCATGCGGTCGGTTAGGGAATTTGAGGCCCTTTGAAGAACAGGGAAGGCGCTTCTTGGGATGACCCAACCAGGTTCTACCAGGGTGATCACCGCCTTCCAGTCTGCCCACTCACACTGGACACCCAGGATGGGGAGGGGCGGCTCAGCCTGCGGCAGGAGCCGCATCCTCGTGACCAGAGGTGTTGCAAAGGGAGGCCCTATCCCTGTGGAGTCTGAGAGCAGAAACCAGCCCTTGTGTGGGCCCATCAGGAACAAGCTCGCCGTGCGGGGGAGGCCAGTTCCTGGATCACACACACCTGGCATTGCGTGACGTGAGTCAGGAGGGACTTTCCTTGAACCACTGCCACCGCCATTGCTCCTGCATGCGAGGGTGCCCTACCTAAGGGTTCTTACCGCCTCTGCTCTAAGGCAGACCTTGAAGTTGCTCACTGACCACTATGGATGGCCTGTGTGCGTGTGTGCACGTGTGTGCACGCGAAGACTAGGCAAAAAGATTCATCCAGTACCAAGCTCTGCACAGCATTTGTTCAGGAGAGAGCACCCATCCCACCGCCCCTTCCCCCTTCAGAGTGCCAGCGGTCCGCCGTTGGGGCTGTGTCGCCTGGAGGCCTGGGTACTGAGTAGAGAAACTTTTGGCACAATCTGTCTTTATCAAACTCCTTTTTGTTCAAAAAATCCAGATGGGATAACCTGACACTCAGGCCCCAGGCGACAGCCTACCCCCCACCTCGATCTTCCTTCAAATGAGATGAAATTGCCCCATGGCTGTGGCTTCTACACTTGGCTGTTCAGAATCACCAGGGAACTTTAGAATCCCAAGTTTCACTTCCGACCTGTCACAGAATCTCCAGCCAGGTTGAAATCTCCAGGAATCTGCATTTTGCGTGCTCCCCAGGGGGCCCAGGCTGGGGGCCCACTGCCTTATTGCCATTTATTCTCTATTTGCATTTTGTCTCTGTTATTCTGTCCATATAAAACTGGCTCAAGAGGTCTCCAGATTAGCCTGAACAAAGCGACCTGGGTGCCCAGGGGCCACCCCTCCCACGGAGGGAGTGAGCAAAGGGGAATGCGCTGCGCATTGGTGAACTGTGCCTGTTTTATTTTTCCTGGAGACACGAGAGCATTTAACGCAGACAG